TTTTGTTTTGTTTTGTTTTGTTTTGAGTATGTGGCTTTTCCAATATTAAGTTTTGAGTATTTTGAAAGTGGTGCTCATGACTTTTTACAATATTGACTATAGTGAGTACTATACTCACTATATTGAGTGTAGTACCTTGATGCTATAGCCACTCAATTCATGTTAAATAGATAAGTCAGCGAATGAATAAATATTGGAAATAGGTGCATAGATAAAAGAAATTCAGCCAGGATCAGTATTCTATTAGATTTCTATATCCAAGATCAGTATTTCTATTATATAGCCTAGACTTTCAATCTAATTTCTGTTGCTATGTTTACCTGTCCACTTTATTGACTGATTGTCCTCATAAAGCACAACTGGTCTGAGGTAGGATTTATAAATAATGATCTGAATCTGTAAAAGAGCTTAAAAACAAAGCTTGAAAACATCTATCTAGAAGAGAAGGGATAGGATGTAATAAAGGTTTATTTCAGCCATAAAATGTAAAAAGCATGTCCATTAATAATTCATCAACCTTCTTTAAAAGAGCCCTTATAAAACCATTTTTACTCTATACCTTTAATCAATTCTAGCTGATTTTGCTAGTATCAGATTTTGACAATAAAACTCTGAAAGGATCCATCTGCCTCGGGATTCGCTTTCAATATTGAAATTAAAAATAATTTTGAGAGGAAAATTTAGCATATTAAGGAAATATAATTTAGCGTTTTAAACAATTTCTCTAAAGAGAGAGGAGTAAAAATGAAAAAAAAAGGCAGCAAAATTTCATATCAAAGCATACATCAGAATAATATTTGTGCCACACAGATCGTTTAGTTTTACAATACATTTAATTAATATTCTTAATTGTTTAACTATCACCTTGAAGAGGATATTCAGCTTTCTGGTAACTAAATTGCCGTTAAACTTTAGAAATATATTGGATTGTGAGGTCCATGGATAAATAGAGAATACATATGGTCTAAAATTATTGATAGAGGAATTAGTCAAGTAAGATCTTTTACGAACCATCTTTCCTTTTGTTTGTCAATGGATAGGTGTTTAAAATATAGACTAATTCTAATTCTAGAATTCTAGAATTTCCTAAGCTTATCTGCATTCTTCTGAATATAATCTTCCTTTTTTTTTTTTTTTTTTTTTTTTTTTTTTTTTTTTTTTTTTTTGCATTTATTTAATTCGTTCAGATCCTGACTTCATGGCCTACTTCAGACTCTTTGCACACTGCATAGTCATTGGCTAGGTTTATATTTTGTCCATACAACTGAATGGACAGTAGCAAATTCTGTCAGTTATCTGAAAGATTAGTGTACATTTTAAAATGTAGAAATATTTAGATCATCAAGATGTTCTGTATTTTACATATAATTTGAAAGGATTGATTGCTTAGCTTTTTCTCATTTGATATCATTTAGATTAAACAAATCAGTATTATTAGAAATTATTATTCATTCTCAAAACCTCTCTTCTACTGATCTATCAATTTGTCAATGTTCATTAGCATCAAGTACTTCTCTAATGGAAAAACAATCAGGAGCTTACTAATTAAAAAAAAAATTGAAATTTCTTTTTTCTCACATTCTGGAGTCCTAGAGAGTTAGAGTCTGGTATTGCATTTCACACGTGAAGAACATAGACTTCTTCTGCCTTGTTTCTCTACTAGGTGTGCTGTAAACAGTTATCAGAGCCCTAGTCATTATGTGTTCATTCCAGCTGGGAAGAACAATGTACAAAGTACCTGCTTACATTGCATTGGCCAGAATTAGTCACATGGTCTCACCTTGCCTAAAAGGACTGTGGATTGTCTTTAGTCTCAGGTGCTAAAAACAAAAATACATAAATACATAAATATATGGATACACACACACACACACACATATGCATATACATGTACATAATTCGTGAGAAAGAGAACAGCCCCTGGAGAACAAATAGCAGTCACCTCCTTTACTTATGTACTGATTTATTTTAGTCTAAGGTAAGATATAAACAGTTGACCAACACCAAATTTTTTTAAAAAGAGAAAACTTCAGTAATTTAGAAAACATGATTTAAAAAACATTGCAAATACAACAATATCAACACAGTTGTAGGTGAGCATTGAACTTTGAGCTGATTTTCTGGGTATCCAAAGTGAAATAGGATACCAAAAGAATTAGATACCTTATTTTAATTATTTAGAAAAGGGTATTACTGAAGCAAAATGAAGCTCTCTTGGCTCTAAACAATCCAAAAATTAATATCATGGTAATTTTTAGAGGAAAACTGAATGTTATGGTGGACAAATTCCTGTAATAGATGTAGTGACTCTATAAGCACTTACTTAGTGTCTTTGACTAAAAGCCAAAGTAAATGTATTATTGTACATCTCAATGCAGTCTCATCTGCGAGTCCCTAAGGAAGGATGATCCAAGGATAAAATCTTTAGGTTTTCTGGCTTAGACCCAAGATAGGTAGATTTTAA